GCGCTCCCCCCCCCATTCTGCATGACGCTCTATTTTATCGCCATGCGCCTGCCGGACCACCTCGCTAGTGCTCGCGACCGCTTCCTTAGCCAGCACCCGAGTGACCTCACCCTAACCGCCTTTGTCGACACCCTCACCGAGATCGAGACTCGCCAGCGCACTATCGCTCAGTCGAGCGGTGCGCCGGCAGTCTCTATCTTTCACGGCTGTGCCCCCTCCCAGTGCACGTTTACTGACGTTTCGGCTGCGGTCGCCACTGCGACCCCTCTTACCGAGACGGCTGTTGCGGTCCACCCGCAGCAGCGCCAGCGCCGCAGTGGCCGTGGCCGCCAGGGCGGTCGTGGTGGTGGAGCTGGTGGTAGTGGTAGTGGTGGTGGTGACGGTAATCCGCCTGAGGGGACTACCACCGGTGGGCAGGAGCAGACGCAGTCGCCTCCGCAGCAGGAGCAGCCCCAGCAGCAGCCGCCGTCACAGTAGCAGCCGCCGCAGCCATGGGCTCGTCTCCCGCCTGGTTGGCCCGGTACCTCCGGAGGTGGTGGCCGTGGTGGCGGTCCGCCCAGCTTGGCGTCTACCGGCAGCTCCGTTGGTGTGACCTGCCAGTACCAGCTTCAGACCGGGCCTCTCCGTGGCACTCTGTGCTGTCGCCCGCATTCGACCGCCCGCTGTTTCCACCGCCTCGACGATCTCTTTCGTCGTGCTTTGGCCCGGCCCCGGACCTCCCCGACTGGCACAGCCTGCTCCGCCAGGGCGTGCCGATCTTTGAGTTAGATAGGGATCAGATAGGTGCTGTTTTGCATGCCTTGTATTCTAACGCTTCTAGTGTTGCTAGATCTTATTACCCTGTGCACTCTAGTTTAGGTGTTGCACCCTTGCGTAGCTTAGCCTCTCCTGCTGTGTCAGGCACAGGACTGCCTAGTTTGCCTAGCCTAGTTTCTGCACCGGCTTCGTTCCCGGCCTCCGCTACTGCCTCGCTGTCCTTCACTCTCGACTCCGGTGCTTCTGCCTGCTTCTTCCGCGACCGCTCCACGCTCATGCCGCTTGCTGCGCCTGCTGTAGTCTCTCTCGCTGACCCCTCTGCGGGTCCTGTCAACGCTCGCAGTTCTACTTCCCTTCCCTGTCCATCTGTTCCCTCGGGCTCTCTTACAGGCCTCCACGTTCCCTCGTTCTCTAGGAACCTGGTTGGTGTCGGCTGTCTTCAGGACCTCGGCGTCACCACCACGTTCCCCGGGCATGAGCGGTTCGCTGTCTGTTCTGAGGGCGTCTCAGGTTCCCCCCTTGCGACGTTCCCCCGGGACCCGTTGTCCGGTCTGTTTACCCTCGACACCGCTTCCCCCCCGGTTGGTGCATCCTCCCACGTCGCTGCAGCTTGCTTGTGTCGGTCCCTCACTCACCCGTCCCTTCTGTGGCACCACCGCTTAGGTCACCCTGCTCTCCCGCGTCTGCGTCACATGTCTCAGCACGGTCTTGTCTTAAGCCTCCCCGTGTCGCTCCCTGCCCTTCCCCCCTCGACTGCGCCACCGTGCATGCCTTGCGTCGAGGGTCGGCTCTGCTGTGCTCCTCACTCCTCCTCGCTTCGCCCTCCTACTGCCCCCCTTTAGACCCTGCACCTGGACGTCTTGGGCCCGGCCCCCGTCCCCGGACTGCGTGGTGAGCGCTACTTTCTTCTGCTCGTTGACAACTACACACGCTACACCACGGTGTTTCCCCTTGAGCGGAAGGCCGACGTGCCCGATGTTCTTCTACCGTGGGTTGTGGCTGCGCGTCTCCACCGCGGTCTTCCCGTGTTGTGTCTCCACTCCGACCGTGGCGGAGAGTTCGCCTCTGGTCGGCTTGGACAGCTCTGTCGTGCGGAGGGCATCACCCAGTCGTACACCTTGCCGGACTCACCACAGCAGAATGGGGTTGCTGAGCGCCACATCGGCTTGGTCATGGAGGTTGCTCATACCTCCATGATCCATGCCGATGCCCCCCATTTTCTGTGGCCGTTCGCTGTTCGCTACGCTGCTCACCAGCTTAACTTGAGGCCCCGCTCCCAGCGGCCGCAGGTTTCGCCGACCCTCCTTTGGACCGGGTCCTCCGGTGACGCGTCAGCGTTCCACGTCTGGGGTGGCCTTACTCACGTTCGTGCCTCTGGCACGGACAAGCTCACTGCCCGCACTGTCCCCTGCGTCTTCCTTGGTTTCCCCCTAGACTCGTCTGACTGGCTCTTCTACCACCCGCCATCTTACCGCTTCCTCCACTCTCGTGACGTCACATTTGACGAGTCTGTCTCCTTGTACCGTCGCTTCCCTCACTGAGGTCTCCCGGTTTCCCCACCCCTGTTCCTTGCTCCCTCTCCCCCGGTAGCCCCTGCTCCGCCTCGTCCTTCCCCGTCTGGCGTCTCTCACGTTACTCCCCTCCCGTCGGTTGTCCCCGTTGAGGAGTCTGCTGACTCTGGTTGTCCCCCCGGCCCGCCCTTGCCGCGTCCCCCTTCCCCGGTGTCTCGACCTCTGCTTTCGCAGTCGCCGCCAACGCCGCCGCCGTCGCAGCCATCGCAGCCGGTCTCCGCTCTTCGCCTGCTCAGCCTTCCCTCCCCTGACCGCTCGCTGGTGTCTCCCCCGCCACCTCCTCACCTTCCTGCCTACGGCCCTGTGTTCCCGCCGCCGGACTCATCTCCGACCCGTCTTCCTCCTCGTTCTCCTCTTGTATCCCCTCCGCTGTCTCCAGACCCTACACCTCTGTCCCACGTTTGGTCTCGCCGTCCCTCACGTGCTCGTCCCGTCTCTCCTGTCCTGCACTCCCACCCTATGTTGCTCCATTCCCACTCGTCTCGTCCTCCCCTCCTCCCGTCGCCTCTTCCCTCATCGCTTGTTGTTGCCCCTCCCCCGCTGTCTGACTACTTCTGTGCCGCTCGTCCCCTTGTGCCTCGGGTTCTTGCCTCTCTTGTTTCAGACCCGTGTGTTACTGTCTCCTGCCTTGACGCGCTTGTCGCTGCTGTCGCTGACTTCGCCTCTACCCGCCGCCTTGACTACGCTACCGCTCTGGTCTCTGACCCTGCCCGTCCTTAGTCCGTCCGAAGTGCACCTGCCCTTGGCAGTGACGTTCTAGAGGACAGGCAGTAAGAGCTTGCTTTCCTTTCCGAGGCCGCTGCCCATCTCTACTCCATGCTCCTAGTCCTAGAGGGTGACCCAGATGCCTTCGACATCCCGACCGCTCGCACCTACGCTGAGGCCACCTCGGGACCCTGGGCCTCTCAGTGGATAGCTGCCATGGAGCAGGAGATGGCATCTTGGAGGTCTACCAGCACTTTCGTCGACGCAGTTCCCCCTCCTGGGGTGAACGTAGTCGATGGTCGGTGGCTCTTCAAGGTGAAGCACCCCCCGGGAGAGCCACCTGTCTTTAAGACGCGCTACGTGGCTAGAGGCTTCAGCCACCGTGAGGGGGTGGACTTCTTCCAGACCTTCGCCCCCCGAAGATGACTACTCTTCGGGCACTGCTACACATAGCAGCACAGCGCGACTACGAGCTTCACTCTCTCGACTTCTCTACTGCCTTTCTTCAAGGCAGCCTACACGAGCAGGTCTACCTGCGCCGACCACAGGGCTTCACAGGTACCTTCCCCCCAGGGACCCAAAGGCTTCTCAGGCGCCCGGTCTACGACCTGCGCCAGGCTCCCCGCGAGTGGCACCACACGCTGCGTGCCACGCTAGCATACTTGCAGTTCTTTCCGTCCTCTGCTGACCCCTCGCTTTTTGTGCGTTCTACATCCTTGTCTACGTAGACGACCTGTCTTCGCTACTGGCGACAGGGACGCACTGGCCTCGGTGAAGGCCGAGCTGCTGAAGAGACACACCTGCACTGACCTTGGAGAGCTGCGGCGCTATCTTGGCCTGCAGATCTCTAGGGACAGAGCAGCACGCACCATCACTCTGACACAGTCACACTTGGTGCGTCAGGTCCTTCAGAGGTTCGGTCTTCAGTTTTCCTCTGCACAGCCCACACCGCTACCTGTAGACCATGGGCTCTCCGCTCCCATTCCTGAGGAGCCAGTAGAGCCCAACGGCCCCTACGCAGAGCTGGTGGGCTGCCTCATGTACCTGATGACATGTACTTGCCCAGATCTTGCATACCCCCTGGCAGACACCGACCACAGCACTGGTCGGCCGCTAAGAGGGTTTTGCGATATCTAGCAAGTACATCGGGCATGGGGTTAGTGCTTGGAGGACGCAGACCAATGGTCCTTACTGGGCACACAGACGCTTCTTGGGCAGACGACGCTGAGACTCTCAGGTCGTCGCAGGGCTACTGCTTTAGCCTTGGTTCGGGTGCTATCTCTTCAAGATCCACTCGCTCGTCGTCTGTTGCTCAGTCCAGCTGTGAGGCTGAGATCTACGCCGGTGCCATGGCGGCACAGGAGCTCCGCTGGCTGACCTTCTTGCTCACAGACTTAGGTGAGCGGCCTAGCTCTGCCCCGTTACTGTACGCTGACAACAGGGCCATGATTCTCCTGTGTCAGGAGCCTCGACTTGAGGGCAGAGCGAAGCATATCCAGCTGCGGCACTTCCACCTGCGCGAGCTACAGCAGCGTCGCCAGGCCCGCGTAGTTCACTTGGCCTCCGGTGCCAACACAGCTGATATCTTTAGGAAGGCGCTTGCGCCTAAAGATCATCAGCGGCACAGTGTAGAGCTTGGTCTTGTTCCTGTAGCTTCTCACTTGTTAGGACCCTGATTGTGTACTCTCTACTATATATACCTGATTGACTGGCCTTGTGGCCTTGCCTCGAGTGGTTGGACTAGTAGTGCCGCCCTGGCTTGCTTTAGCTTTGTTTGTACTCTTGCTGACTGGTCTTCGGACCCCTAACTCAGTGGTTGGACTAGTAGTGCCACCCTGAGCTGTGTGCTTCTTGCGTAGCACCACCCCTTCTCTAGCCTAGGGAGTGTGTTAACTTGTACATATGTTGTATGTAGAAGTTCTAGGCTAGCCTAGGTGTGTGCTTCTAGTGAGTACAACCCCAACAGGTATATGTTCTAGGTTTCTCACACTAGTCTATTCATTCTCGTATTCTAACACTAGTACCGGTACTTGGTCTCATTCTTACGTCATGAAATGGCGACCAGAAGGAATTCACTGATACCACTCCCCTTCCTATTCCCTAATTTGCCAGGAGGACACCAAAATGAATCACTACCATTTCAACATGCAACCATCCAGGAAATGGAAGCAGCAGCTAATATAATATAGACTCTCTCCAGCGTTGTTGTCAGTGATGCAAGTATCTCAAGCTTCTTTTCTAGACCGGTGTTCTCATGAGTAAAACCACCTATGTGTTGCCCATTCAGTTCACCGCAGGGAGCAGAAGCGTGGGCGGTCGCAGAAGAGGCGGCCGAACCTCTTGAGAGCAAAGAGCACCGAGCCAGCAAGCACAGCTGAGGTGGCTGCGATGACTGGCGGCAAGATAGACGGGGTGGGAGAGGAGGCTGCTTGGGAAGTGGCGGGGAGGGAAGGAGGTGGGGGTGGGGGGGAGATGAGGGGATTGTGATGAGGCTGAAGGGTGTACGGACCAAAAGAGGTGGCCGAACCTCGTGAGAGCAAAGAGCTCCGAGCCAGCAACCACAGCTGAGGTGGCTGCGATGACCGGCGGCAAGATAGATGGGGTGGGGGAGGAGGCTGCTTGGGGGGTTGGAGAGGCGGGAAAGGGAGAGATGGGTGGGGGGGAGGGCTGTGACAGCAGGTGAGAATCAGGGCCAGCAACAACCGGTGAGGTGGCTGCGGTGACCGGCGAGAGGATGGAGGGGGAGGAGGCAGCTTGGGTGGGATATGTGGAATGGGGGGGAGAGAGGGGAGGGATGGGAGGGAGGCGAGGAGGATATGAGGGAAAGAAAGGGAGATGACAGTAGAAACAGCGGCGACGTCTGAAGTGGCTGAGGCGACTGGAGAGAGGGTGGCGGGGAAAGAGGCTGCTTGGGGAGAGAACTAGTAGCAGGTGAAATGGTAACGGCGACTGGAGGAAACTGGGGATTCACTGGATTGAGGGGATGCTGCTTGGGGGTGGAGACGGATAAGGGCAGGGGAGGGCGAGAGGGCTCAGTAGATGGGAAGTGAAAAGCTGGAGATTGCTGACAAGCTGAGGTGGGTTGAGAGAAGGGTAAGAGCGGGGCAAGGTCCGTGCGAAAGTGGGCAGAATAAAGCTCGTTTTGTCTTCAAAAGCTCGCCCAAGTGATGAGTGAGTAGAGAGGTGACTTACAGGGGAAGACGTTTCGCAGGAAGAGGAAGGTGGATGCGACAAGCACCACAAGAGCCACCCTCAGATTCTGAACACTCGGAAAAAGGCAGAGTCAATTGGAAAGGTGGACTGGTGAGCGTGGGGTGAAGTGGGTAGCACGAGCTAAGAAAGGCAATGGGGAGGAATTGCAACGTGGAGGCCACGAGCACCACGAGAGCCGCTCTCAATTTCTGAACAATCGGAATAAACAGAGTCAACGGGAAGGGTGAGCAGGTGAACATCGGGAGAATGGGGCAGAGTGCTAAGAAAGACAACCGGGAGGAAGGGCAATGTGGAGGCGACAAGCATCCACAGAGTGACAAGCATCCACAGAGTGACAAGCATCCACAGAGTGACAAGCATCCACAGAGTGACAAGCATCCACAGAGTGACAAGCATCCACAGAGTGACAAGCATCCACAGAGTGACAAGCATCCACAGAGTGACAAGCATCCACAGAGTGACAAGCATCCACAGAGTGACAAGCATCCACAGAGTGACAAGCATCCACAGAGTGACAAGCATCCACAGAGTGACAAGCATCCACAGAGTGACAAGCATCCACAGAGTGACAAGCATCCACAGAGTGACAAGCATCCACAGAGTGACAAGCATCCACAGAGTGACAAGCATCCACAGAGTGACAAGCATCCACAGAGTGACAAGCACCACAGAGTGACAAGCATCCACAGAGTGACAAGCATCCACAGAGTGACAAGCACCACAGAGTGACAAGCATCCACAGAGTGACAAGCATCCACAGAGTGACAAGCATCCACAGAGTGACAAGCACCACAGAGTGACAAGCATCCACAGAGTGACAAGCATCCACAGAGTGACAAGCATCCACAGAGTGACAAGCATCCACAGAGTGACAAGCACCACCCTCAGGTTCTGAACAATCGAATGCAGACACACAGTTGGTAGGGAGAGTGTGCATGTGAAGAGCGTGAGAGGGCGGGCTGAGTGAGGGGGGGTTAAGAGGGGGAGGGTAGGCAGTGTGGGAGGGCCGGAACCCAGAAAGCAGCTGCTAACCCTCCCTCCCAGAAAGCGCATATTTGGTGGCTGGATCAGTCTATTTGGTCCCAGTAGCCCGCATACCGTGTATTTCTCAATGCCAGTGCGTGTGAAAGGGGAAGACACCCCCTGCTTGACTGTGAAGTTGCCCATGATGAGATCGAGACCATCCTGTTACAGGCACGAGGAGATTGTAGCGAGGGGACCAAGGGAAACAGGGTGCATGGGGACGAAGGGAAACAGGGTGCATGGGGACGAAGGGAAACAGGGTGCAAGGGGATGAAGGGAAACAGGGTGCATGGGGACGAAGGGAAACAGGGTGCATGGGGATGAAGGGAAACAGGGTGCATGGGGATGAAGGGAAACAGGGTGCATGGGGAGGAAGGGGGAAAGTACACCCTGCTGCTTGACTGTGAAGTTGCCCATGATCACATTAAGCCCATCCTGTTGCAGTAACGAGCACGAGAGGATTATAACGAGAAGAAGGAGAGAAACAGGGTGAATGGGGATGGAGGGGAAAGGAACCCCATGCTTGACCATAAGGTTCATTATGAAAAACCTCGAAAATGACTCCAGTACATGGATGGGCAACCGGGACAATGGGAAAGGTGAGGCGGGTTGAAGTTCACCCGGTGAATGGGGATGCAACAGGGCGAGAACGCGCTGCTTGATAATTATTTGAGGCGCCTCAAAGAACGCATTTCTTGATAATCTAACTTACCGCAGGTTGAAATTCACCCGGTGGATTGGGATGCAACAGGAGGAGCGCGTTGCTTCATCATTTAACTTACCTCTGATCAAGCACCGACCCATCATTCCAGGACGGTTTTTGAGGCGCCTCAAAATTCGTCATTTAACTTACCTCTGATCAAGCACTGACCCATCATTCCAGGACACTGGGACTACAGGAAACAGACACAGTTCACAGTTCTCAGATTGATCTTTCACCTGCCTCACACCATCCGTGAAGTTGGTGAAGAAGCACTGCTGCACAGCACTGATGCCATCTTGAAGGAAGCCTTCCTCTGTATCACTCGTGATTGCCACCCCCAGTTGTATCACCCTCACTTGCATCACTCTCACCTGTCTCACACCGTCCGTATAGTTGTTGAAGAAGTACCGCTGCACAGCACTGACCCCATCTTGAAGGAAGCCTTCCGGGCTGCGTTTGCCGTACCTGAGGGGAATAGAGGATGTCACAGTGACGGACAACTGAACACGTGGCAGGAGAGGTGGACAGTGGATGTGGCGTGATGACACTTGAGTCGACTCAAGGGAGGATGTCACAGTGACGGACAACTGAGGGCGTGACAGGAGAGGTAGACAGTGGATGTGGCATGATGACTTTTGAGTCGACTCAAAAGAGGATGTTGCAGTGACGGACAACTGAGGCGTGACAGTTAAGGTGTTGGGTGTGGCAGTCAGCAGATGATAATCCAACTTAAAAACCTTCTCACATGCAAGGTGCTGTAGCACGGTCTCACATACTGCACAAAGTTTCACATACCGCACAAAGTCTCCCTTGAGCGCTGGTGTGCCAGTGTACTGCGTGCTGATGTCATCGCCATGGTCCGCCCACACTGGAAGAAAGAACGTTGTGGGGAGAGGGGTGGGAGAGGAGAGGGAAAAAGGAAGATGAGGGCATAGGAAGATACTGTGCTGATGTCATTGCCATGGTCAGCGCATCTCCACACTCGATGCACGGAGAAAGACGGGGAGAGAGAAGAAAGGAGCGACGGGGACAGGGGGGTAAAGTAGATTTTTGAGGCGCCTCAAAAATTGATGTCATTGCCATGGTCAGTGCATCTCCCCACTAGATGCACTGAGAAAAACGGGGAGAGAGAAGAAAGGAAAGACAGGGACAGGGGGTTAAAGAACTCTCACACAAGTCTACTCTACTTTGACACTCGTGTGTACTACTGATGACAGCAGAGTCCCATACACGACGAAATTGTTACACAACGTCTACTCTGGGGCGCCAGTGTACTGCTGATGAAGCCACTGTGCTCTACCAGTGCCACCCGCGCATCCTACCCCCACTCACTCTTTGTCTCACACACCTGAATTACTTCCTCCACTCACTGATATTGTACTTAGCATTGATGTCACTGTGCTCTGCGACCCGCACATCCTACCCCCACTGTCTCTTTGTCTCACACGCCTAAATTACTTCCTCCACTCACTGATATTGTACTAGATGCCACCCGCGCATTGATGTCGCTGTGCTCTGCCACCCTCTCATCTTTCCCCAGCAGTCCCACCTTCCCCCTTTCACGCATCACTACCACCACCCTCCCAAATCTCTCCCCCCCCCACCACCCGCCAAACTCACTGATCTTGTACTTGGCGTCAAAGTCGCTGTGCTCCGCCACCTGCTCGTCCTTCCCCAGCAGCCCCATCTGCCGCAGCTCTTGCTCCAACACGTGCCGGGCGAACCAGCTCTGAGAAGGGGTGGATTGGTGGAGGGTGGGGAGGACTTGAATCAAGAAACTTGACACCCAGCAGCCCCACCTGCCGCAGCTCTTGCTCCAACACCTGCCGGCTGAACCAGCTCTGAGAAAGGGAGAGTACAGGATTGGGTGGGGGGGAAGGGGAAGAAGGCAACAGCAATAAGAAAGGAGCAATGGTCGAGTCACGAGTAACCCAGCAGCACCATCTGCCGCAGCTCACGCTCCAACGTGCCGGGCGAACCAGCTCTGAGAAGGGTGCAGGGGGAGGAAGAGGTATGGAAAGGGGTTGCACGGGTTGGGCCTATAGAGTCACCCAGCTGTCCCATCTGCCACAGCTCTTGCTCCAACACATGCCGGGCGAACGAGCTCTGGAAAAGGGGAGGGGGGAAGGTGGTTTTACGGGTTGAGCCTATTGAGTCATCCAGCTGTCCCATCTGCCACAGCTCATGCTCCAACACGTGCCGGGCGAACCAGCTCACGGGGAGAGAGAGAAGTGGGACGAGGGCAGTCGCAGGTTGGTGGTGAACACATTGAGTGAAACTCCACCTATTATCACCCTTTGGCAATCCATCACCAGCACCTAGGAGGAGCCACCAGGAAATCCACCTAAAAACCCACCTGAGTGAGTGACGTTGGCATTGACTTACAATACAAGTCACTTGGAGGTCAAGATATTCCATGGAAGCGGCTCTGGTAAACGCTTAGTGCTGTATAGCCTGGTTATTGAGAGTAGAATGTTTTCTTGATGAGGACTGAGTGACGTTGGTATGGTCAAGGCAGTCCGCGCGGTTGGCGCTTGCTGTGCCATGCTGCTACTACCTGATACAACACCTGAAAGGCACCTGGGCGCCCACATGAGTGACGTTGGAGCAGTCAAGGCAATCAACACAGCCGGTGTGCACTCTGCCCTGCTGCTGCTACCTGAGAAATCACCTGAGAGGCACCTGAGCGCCCGCCGAGTCGTTGGTGCGGTCAAGGCAGTCAACGCAGTTCGTGCGCACTGTGCCCTGCTCCTGTTACCTGAGAAATCACCTGAGAGGCATCTGAGCGCCCACCTGAGAGACGTTGGTGCGGTCAAGGCAGTCAACACAGTTGGTGCGTACTGTGCCGTGCTGCTGCTTCTGCACCGAACCGTCCTTCCCTTGCAGGAAGAAACTAGTGGCAGGGAAGATGGGGGGTAGGAGGAAAGGGTGAGAATGGGACAATCGGTCCAGGCTGAGTAAGTGCGCTGCTGCGTGTGCACCGGCTGGTCAGACCGGTCCTTGCGCTGCAGGAAGAATCTGGGATGGGGCGAAGGGAAATAGGAGAGGGGAACAAGGGTGAGGATTTTGCCTTAGGCTAGGTTAGGAATCATGGTTTGAGGCGCCTTGAATCAAGTTGGTGCGCACTGTGCCATGCCGCTTCTTCTGCAAGGGTGAACCATCCTTGCCTTGCAGGAAGAAACCGGAGCAGGGGACAAGACAAGGAAAAAATTCTTGAGGCGCCTCAAAAATAGACTTCTGCACTGAACCGTCCTTGCCTTACCTCGCAGGAAAAAACTGGAGCAGGGGACAAGACAAGGAACCCAATCCATCCGTGCCTTGCAGGATAAAAACTAGAGGAAAGGGTGAGAAGACATCGTTTAATAAGCATCGATGCTTGTCCGTGCTTCTGCACCAACCCATCCTTGGTTTGCAGGAATTAACTCAGGCAGGGCAAAGGGTGGTGTGGTGGGGATGGGTGACGGGACATGGCTGAGATGTTAAGGTGAAGAGGAATGATGAAATGATGTTGGTCAATCGGACTATCCAACTGCCCAGCTCCTGAGTAGACTTATAGAGTGGTGGCACTCGGAATCGATCTTTTGGCCAATTTGGTGGTGCAGTGGAGAATGCTTGAGCCGACTAGAAGAAAAGGGGTGCGTCACTAACTCACCCCTGCGCCTCCATGTCTTGGCCTATCTGGTCGTCCAGCAGAGACAGCTGGTGGAAGTTGGTGTGGCCGCACTCCTTGTGGAAGTCAAAGGGCACGTAGCTGGGAGGGGGAGGGGGGGTGGGAGGTTGCGGGTGGGGGGGGGGGGGGGGATGTGAAGTAGCGCGGAAGTGCATGACGCTAGGTGTGGCAGCACCCCTAGTGGAAGTCAAAGGAGGGACGGGGGGAAAGGGGGGGGGGGGGGCGAAGGGCGGGAGAATCTGAAGCGCGGAAGTCTATTTTTGAGGCGCCAAAAAAATAGACTCCTCACGCGGGGGGGGGGGGGGGAGGGGAAGGGCGGGAGAATCTGAAGCACGGAAGTGCATGACACGACACTAGGTGTGGCAGCACCCCTTGTGGAAGTCAAAGGGCACATACCGGAGACAGAGAGAATGCAGGGAGAGAAGAGAGGAGAAGAATTATTGGTGGCAAAAGCACACATGCGCTGCTTGGACAAAAGAGTTTGGACATCTTACATGAACGCTTGTTAAGTAGCAGCACTCCTGAGCACATGGAAGGAAGAGCCTCAAGCCTCATAGCACAAATATCAGAGGTGAATGTGGGATGTGAGACGTACCAAATATCAGAGTCCTAGTTTGTTCAGTTCAGTTGAATCACAAGTCCGTTCTCAACAAGTGGAAGCGTTTCGGGCTTATAGCATAGAGTTGGCGTGATGCGGGATGTGAGACATACCGAATATCAGAGCCCCCAATCGCGTTCACATGCTGTAGTGTATGCTGACCACTGGATGCTACATACAGATGCTACATACATCCGAACTACACTCACGGAGGGCATAATGGCATAAGGGTCGTACCGAATATCAGCGTCTTTAATTGCGTTCACAGCTCCAGCGTATGCTGACCCGATGCGACTCTCCCCGCCATGCTGCATACATGCATTGGTATGCCATACCACCCCATGAGATGGCATCACATGTCATGCCATGACATGACAACAGGGACATGCCATACCATGTCATGACATTTCATGCCATACCGCATCACAGCGAACAAAAAACAGCATGGAATAAAAGAGAACGGTACAGGGTTCAGGGTTTAGGGTTTCGGCACAAGCACAAGAATTCAGAATCATTAGTGAAGGAAAAGGGAAGAAAAAGCATTCGCAACAAGAGCAGCTAAACATAGTGAACCAGAAACACACAAAAATGAGAGAAGATGCAACAAGGCCCACCACTAACACTGGACTTTTCGGCATTTTCTCTTTGTGCACCTAGCTGGGTCAGCAGATGCATGACTACCCAGCCTCCCAAGCAACTGATTGAACTGACCAGCATAAAAGATCGTCCTTTTTCCCAAAGCGTGGTTGACCAGGTCAACAGATAACCATGTCTCTCATTCTGCAAGACCCAGCTGACCAGATCAACAAACACCAATGTCTTTCCTTCCCCAGTACCTGGTTGATCAGGTCAACGCATTACCACTCTTTCCCCAGTACCTGGTTGACCAAGTCAACACATGACCACTCTTTTCCCAGTACCTGGTTGATCAAGTCAACACATGACCAATCTTTCCCCAGTACCTGGTTGACCAAGTCAACACATGACCAATCTTTCCCCAGTACCTGGTTGACCAAGTTAACACATGACCAGACCACTCCTTCCCCAGTACCTGGTTGACCAGATCAACGGCAATGACTGGGCCATATATCTCGTTGAGCCCTCTTAGGTGCTGCCTCAGGGGCGCCTCAAAGGGTTGCTGGGGGGGCGAGAAGAGGGAGAGGAGGGGGAGAGGAGGGGGAAGTGCGGCCAGATAGGGACGGATGAGGGTGGGAGGTTGACAAAGGTCTCCTTGAGCCTTCTTAGGTGCTGCCTGGGGGGCCTCATAGGGTTGCTGGGGGGAAGAGGAGGAAGAGAGGGGCCGATGGGAAAGATAGAATTATTGGATGGAAGGAAGAGGTTGAGAGAAGGTGCAGGAAGGGGGTGTTGGCCACTGCTAGTGTCTGCGCTGAATAACCGATGCTTCTCCCAAAACGGATATCATATTATCATACCGAAGCTGTGACAACAGTACGGACCTTGGGCTTGAATGTGAGGCCAACAGCCCTACAGTCAATTTTTTTTATCCGACAATGCTTGTCTGTGATACCACCGATTCTCACAAGTATCGATTACTGCAGCTGCGACAACGGTACTGAGATTGGGCTTGTGCGTGATGTCAGCCAAATGTCAGAAACATTACATACCGCAGCCGTGACAACAGTTTGGAGCTTGGGCTTGTATGTGAGGTCAACGATCTGCTCCCACAGCACAGGGATGGAGCCCCGGACCTGAGAGAAAGAGAGAGCACAAGGGAACAAGCAAGCAAGCAGGCACAACGCAAGCAATGAGGTACATTCTAAGCCGGGCCAAGCAGTGTGTACGTGTGTGCGAGGTCAACGATCTGCTCCCAATAGCACAGGGATGGAGCCCCTAACCTGAAAGAGAGAGCGAGCAAAAGGGATGGAAGGCACGACGCAAGTGATGAGATACATTTAAAGCCGGGCCGAGCAGTGTGTACGTGTGTGTGAGGTCAACGATCTGCTCCCACAGCACAGGGATGGAGGAGGCCCTGACCTGGAGATGTACCGAGCGGAGGGAGTGAACATGCATAGATGAATGAAGCGATGGCAGAACACACACATGTAGACTATGTAGATGAGCTTGTAAGTGAGGTCTTCAACCAACTGCTCCCACAGCACGGGGATGGAGCCCCTGACCTGGAGAGAGAGAGAGAAAGGAAACAAGGGTGACGGTGCTCCTGCAACGGGTGCAGTAGCACCGTTACCCTTACTCGATAAACTGCTACCTTCTGCCTCAGCTGCACGTAAGATGCCACAGCGCCGCCATCCACTGTCACCACTTGCTCCGTCTCGACAAAGTAGTTTCGAGGCCCCTCTGCATTGCCTTCGTCAGAGCCACTGCCTGTGTCAGAGCCTTTGCACCTCACCTGCACGTAGGATGCCACAGCGCCGCCATCCACTGTCACCACTTGCTCCGTCTCGACAAAGTTGGCCACTGCGCCCTTCGAGTCAGCGCCCCTGCGCCACATGCGAGTGCCTGGAGCAAGGGGAGAGGGGAGGAGGGGAGGGGAGGGGGGAAGAGAGGAGGGGAGAAGGGGAGAGGAGGGCTGTGAACAAAGTTGGCCACAGCGTTCCTTGGAATCAGGGCCAGGAGAGAGAGATGAGACAAGAAACACAGTGTGAGATCGATTCTGCGTAACAATAGAACGAGCGGCGCTTATCATACGCTGGGGCAATCTGCGAGAGTGACTTCGACTGATCACTTGGCAAACTTGAACCTCTATTGGACGTTGCCAATCTGTCTTTTCAGTTACCACAGCAATCGAGTGCCTAGGGGCTTACCGATTCTGTCAACGCTGCGGCGTGCAATGAGAGTGACCTCGACTGGACACTTGTTGATTGCTGATTGGATGCTGGCGAAACGTGCTAGGTTGATAGGCGCACAGGAATAATGCCATCAATAAGGGAGGATTTCGAATGGAAAGGCCAGCAAAAAGAGAACCAGACAAGAAGGCGGATGAACAGGAACCGACAGGGGATGGAATCAAGAGCAGGGAGTTGCAGGAATGGGAATGAACAGCAGGGAATGGGATCAGGTAAGAGAGAGGAGGTTCCTGGTTAAGGAAAGCTGTGTTCGAGGGAATAAGGATGAAGGGCTTAGAAATTACTTCAGCATGGATTGATAGGGGTGGAGAAGATGGGAGAAGGCAGTGGGGAGTTGATCGGAGGACCCCAAAAGATACAAAGAGGGGGAGTTAAGGCACAGGAAAACTGCTCTCGAGAGGAAGCATAGAAGGAATGCACAAGGCGCACACAAGTATGAAGCAGACGAGCAGGGGAGGGGCATATAAGACTAGAGGCAGGAAGCTGGGCGGATATTTCCTTGCATCACTGGGACGACAAACGGAGCAGCCTGGGAGTTTGGAGGAGTCAGGGCAGGAAAACAGTGGGGGGGGAGGAGAGAACCAGAGGGAAGAGGGAGTGAGGGTGTGTGGAAAATGAGAAGCCTGAAAACACTGGAGCTAGAGAGGATGCAAGATGTGGGCGTTAGACAGTGCAAAAAGATTAATGAGAATGCCACAGGAAGACTAAGGCTGTATACAGGCAGAAATTTCTTTTGATTTTATGGAAAAAGTGCCACAGAATAAAAAAGGCTCCCAAACAGGACTGGGAGAGAAGCAAAAAGAAAGCAGCAGTTTCTGGCTCACCTCAGGGCAGCTTATCGCTCGCCGCTGGAGATGAAGGTTCCAAAAGAAACGATCATCCACCTGGACTGATGTGCACCCAGAGCAAGCACTCCCACACTGCCATGTGGCTACGTACGCACTGTAGGCTCACCTCACAGCTGTTTCTGGCTCACCTCAGGGCAGCTTATCGCTCGCTGCTGGAGATGAAGGTTCCAAAAGAAACGATCATCCACCTGGATGTGTGCCGATAGTGTGCACACATACGGGCACACACGCACGCACACACGCACGCACGCACATGCACACACGACACGCACACATGCACGCACGCACGGATGGATTGGACGGACGAGATTGAGTTTGAGAGGTTGTTGACAATGGGGAAGCCACAGGATGGCACTAAATGACATGAGAAAGACACGATTCGTGAAGCGCCATAATGGCACGTGAACATGTAAAGGGCGTTTGAACATTTGATGGAACACGTCATTGACATAGCGGTGACTTCTGAGTCTACCAAAATAACCTTAATCTGTGATGAGCGGCATGCAAACACGACTAAGTGATGACTCTTGATTTGACCACATGTGATGACATTACGTGTGAGGCATGAGCGCTGACTGACAGCAATGCACATGGATGGATGCACGCCCACATAGCTTACCTGCTTCCACAAGGGTTTTGGACCAGTGCTCGCCTCAGCTAGCGCCTCCCTCTGTAAGCTGCATGAAGCATTGATATAATAAAAAATCAGGGAAAAATACAAAACATAACAAAAAAACGAGAATGGCATGTTCATGATGGGCATACGCCACTGTAAATTGACGCATAGCACGTGGTGCAAGATGCAGGTCACGATGTGCGGAGTCCACAACTCATGCCATGCCAGCAGGGCACTTAGGCGCGATAAGCGTGATGCATAACCCATTCCAAGGAAGCAAACGGGCGCGTATAAAAACGCATTCCATAAGGTCCTCGAAATGCACAACCAGCTGAATGACCCGCATGCGGAGCTTGCTTACCCCATCCCCTACATGATGACGCTGACGCCAGCACACCTGGTGGTGATGTCAGCGCTGTAGGAGAAGAAGAGGCCGTGAGCTGACAAGGCAGAGCGCAGGCGAACCAGGTACTCCTCCTCGTCCGCTTTCTGGGAGATAAGTGGCATTAGATAGAGGTATCGGATATAGTCAGTCAACAGAGGCATCAGTTTTGAGGTGCCTCAAGACAAGGCAGAGCGCAGGCGAACAAGGTACTCCTCGTCCGCTTTCTGGGAAATGAAGGGGATCGGTGGGAAGGTACCAATCGAGTTTTGAGGCGCCTAATGACAAGGCAGAGAGCAAGCGAACATGTTACTCCTCTTCGTCCGCTTTCTGGGAAATCAAGGGGATCAGTTGGGAGGTATCAATCAACCTTTGAGGTGCCTCGTGACATGGAATGAAAGAGCACAGCCGAGCAAGGCACTCCTTCTCGTCCGATTCCTGGGAGATAACGAGCTGACGGGCGTCAAATGCAGAGGAACTATACAAGAGCGTCAGCCATGCATAGAGAGACTGGGAGGACGCGAAGAACCTTATCGATCAGCCATTCACTGAGGAAGACGACTCATCAAAACCTTTCTAGTATCAACCAATGTATCATTGAACAGAAAGGCTGGTGCTTGAAGAGAAAGCCTGGTCCGGCTCTTTTTAGTACGCCGTCCACGCAGACCTCCCTTCTTCTGCCTCCCTCAGTTTGCCTTGTGCTCGCATTCCTCACTTGTGACCCTGCTCCCGTAACACTCTCAAGCCATGTTACAAACCTGTTAGAAACCTGTTACAAACCTGTTACACAAGCCATGGGACCTGTCGGTCACAAGCACACGTGCACCAGGTTGGGTGTCAGGGAGGCAGTGGAGATGCAGGCATTTTTGGGAATTCTTATAAATCTCTCACAAGGACTTAACTCCCTCGCATCGTTATCGGTTGGGTGTGAGGGAGGCAGTGGAGAAGATGCACGACATATGATATCGAAGGTCGTTGCCCTGTTTTGAGGCGCCTAAGTAACAGACCCGGCAGCACACGCACCAGCAACACTGAATCCCCCCCTTCGTTACGAGCACGGCCTCACCTGCTTGGGTATGCGATGAGGGAGTCTTTGGTTGGAGCGGCACGGCACTCTATCAAAGGCATGCGATGCACTTCCCTAGCCCCAACCCTGATCTCGTTACAAGCACACGCGCACCTGCTTGGGTGTGAGGGAGTCTTTCGAGCAGCACGGCACTATATCGAAGGCTGTCGCTCTGAACACATGTGCGCCCTTGAACGCACCGACCAGCTGCCGGTTGGTCACCAGCAGCACGTACGTGCCTGAGGAAGAGAATAGAGAAGGGGGGGAAACGAAACTATTTGAGGCCCCTCGAAGCACAGAACACGTGCATGCCCTTGAAAGCGCCGACCAGCTGCCGGTTCGTCACCAGCAGCACATACGTGCCTGGGGGAGAAACGGCAAGGGCGAAGCACATGGCGATGGAATGGTGAATACATTGCGGTACGATCATAGGCAAGAGAAGGCAGGCTGACATAGGCAGGAGACGGCAAGCTGACATGACCCAGGAGGACCCACTCGAACCAAGGGTGCGATTAGGCGATTGGACCCAGCCAAGCTGCAAGGGGATCTAACCCACCTGCGAGAAGCAATAAAAAGCCCAGGAGAAGGCACGCTGACTTGACCCGAGACCCACTTGAACCTCGGGTGGGGTAAGCGACTGTACAGTTTGAGGACATTGGGGAGTGAGTAACCAAGCTGCAGCGGGTGGTAACCCACCTGCAAGGAGTTCGATGAAGCCCAGGAGAAGGCAGGCCGACTTGGGCTCTGAGACCGTTCCGGCGAGAGATGGCTCGCCTGAAGTACCAGGGAGGGAGTGACGGCAACACGGGGGAGAAATGAAAGCCAAGGCAGTGAGTGTCAGGGAGGAATGTGCGTCGCAAGGGCGGACATTTGGCGAAACATCTGGTGAAACACTTGGTGAAACATCTGGTGAAACACTTGGTGAAACATCTGGTGAAACATTTGGCGAAACATCTGGTGAAACATTTGGTGGAATCTCTGGTGAGACATTCAGCGAAACTTCCGTACGAGAATGTACTACAGGTCACGCAGGCACGCTGACGGCCCGATCCGTCACTCTGAGGACCGTTCCGGCGAGGAACGCCTCGCCTGATGCCAGAGTCCGAGCGCAAATATTATAAACGATTCGACCAGGCATTCCTCATAAATGTCCCTTAAATCCTCTTTCCCCCCTTCCCTCCCCCCCCCGCCCCAATGTCGCGGTTCCACTGGATCCATGGGAACTTTTTTGAGAATCTTCAAGCACCAGCTCATCTCCCCCCTCCCAAATGTTGCAATCTCTCTGGATCCATGAGAAATGGCATCAAGTAAATGCCTCAGCTGCCAGCTCTCAGTTCCGCAGCTGGTAAGCGCCTCAGATGGCTGCAGCTACATCTACCAGAAACGAAGCTTCGTGCCATCTCCGTCTGTCACATGCCGAAATTTCAGAATGTCCTCGTTTTCAGGTGAATGCTTCAGCTGCCAGCTCTCGGTTCCGCGGCTGGTAAGCAGCAGACCGCTTTACCTCCCTCTCCGTTACAGCTACGTCTACCAGAAGCGCAGCTTGATGGATTTTTCTGACATCGTGCCTTCTCCTCCGTCGCATTGCTAACGTTATCGAAACAAAATCTGACTCGTTCGCATTGCTAGCGTCATCGAAACGAATTCTGATTCGTTCGCATTGCCAGCGCCATCAGGAGTAAGCCGCGAACTTGACGAGGCCCACTATAACGAGAGTATGAAGCAGATCGCTAATGCCAGCCCCGCCACTGCTTAGGGCCTGGCGGAACCACTCCAACAGGCCACAATGCCCTAAGCAGTAGCGGGGCTGGCAGTGATCGCCAGTGATCTCCGGATGAAGCTGTGGCTGGACCCATTGTGGCTACAGCAGTGCCGACGTCGCTACCTTACAACGGAAACAGGGTAAAGCGCGTACACGAGTCAACCCGTACACTAAATTAAGTGTCGCAGTTTGGCAGTTTGACAGATTCTATTGATTGCGAAGAGGGCTGCTCCAGAATCAAGGTCTGCATTCCCGTGTCCATGGCAGTACCTCCGACGCTCAGGCTGCCGTCCGATCGGCGAATGGCGAGGCAGCTGGTCGACGCATCCAACGGCTCAAGCAGCAGCTGGTCAGAGTACTGCCAGACGCGAAATCCCGTGCACAGAGCAGGCACTGGGACACCCATGATCCCTTGACGCTTCGGGTTGTTATCAAATTCTCGTTGAAGTTTCTCGGGGAATCTCTCTGGAATAAACCAGACCAGCAGCAACGGAGCCTTTGGAATAAGGATCTCCGTAGCAGAAGTGCAGGCCTGGAGTATAATCACCGCAGCTTCAAGAGAGAAGCTGGGGACACGGGACGACCGGGTAATTGCCCAAGGCTGGTCAGAGAGCTCCTGGAGTAGAAACCTTGGGACCTCCGCTTGTTGAATTTGTCCTTCCCTGTTTTCCTTTCCTCACCCTGTGTGTGCCCCAGCCCAGACCAACTCCCTGGAGACATTGCTTGCTTGGAGGCTCAGAAGAAACCAAGGGTGGTTCGGGGAGGCTGAAGGCTGGACTGGACAGGGGAGGGGATGTCCTAGGTGGAGCCAGCCAATCAAGCGGGCAACCAGCGCAGCCTTGCGCTGGTGCCGCGTGGCTTGCGCTGGTGCTGCTGGGATTGCGCGACGCTCCGCGTTCTGTACAGAACTCTACAAGTGCTGTGGGGCGCTCCTGGCGTTCCGCGCTTGTACAGAAATACAATGGAGGTGGCGCAGGATCTGTGTGGTGTGGGGTGGAGCTGGCTGGTGGTTGGTGGTGGCGTGGCGCGCTAGTGCTGCGCAAATGCCGAGGCAGCCCCGATGACGAGGAGCCAACAGCGAATCCGAAACGAGTTTGAGGCGCGGGAAGATTCGTCAAGCGTGGTGAGATTCCAAGGGCCAAATAATCGCGACAACCAATGAGGCGTTCATACCCGTTTGGGCCTTCTTGCGAGAACAAGAGGCGCTTACGCTAGCAGATTTTCCACTAGTCTATACTGTCGTTAGCAAATGATGCATTCTGCAAATCCTTACCTTAATTCAACTCCAAACAATAAGGGTATAGGCCACATACAATGAGGACTGGACATATTTGTACTCGTGCCTCTTTGTGGAATGATACGATAGTACGAGTTACCTTACGCTTGAAGCTAAGCTGATTGCCTTGCTCTCTCAATAAGCGGCTGAAGCTGAAGAGAAACATGTGATGTAGTACTACTGTGATTTACTTTTGAGACATCTCAAATTTAGGCTGATTGCCGTGCTCTCTCAATGAGCGGCCGGAGCTGTTTCTTCTCGGCGAGGATCTTGAGGAAGTTGAAGAGGAAGGGGATGTAGTTGTGCTTTCTGCGAATGTTCTCCGTCCTCCACCTCCGGTACTTCTCCTCCTCGCCTGCTATCGAGTCTGCAAGACAGTGCAGCGGGGAGGCAAAGCGTACATATGAGACACAGTCAGCAATTGCAACCACATGCCAAAGCCAGCGTATGGTGTTCTCCGTCCTTCACGTCCGGAACTTCTCCTCCTCGCCTGCTATCGAGTCTGCAGAACAGTGCAGGGGGAGTTGCAAAAGCGTACAATTAATTTAATATACACAATCAGCACACTATGTTTTCCATCCTCCACCTCTGGTACTTCTCGTTTTAACCTGCTATCAAGTCTGCAAAACGGGGCAGGGGGTGAAAAACCATCTATGTGAGACACAACCAGCACACTATGTTCTCCATCCTCCACCTCCGGTTCTATTCCTCCTCGCCCGCTATCGAGCTTGCAAAACAGTGCAGCGGGATGGGAAAACGCACACATGAAACAAAATCAGCAATAAAGACTGGGCCACACAGATAGAACGTACACCTCGGAGCCTGCACTAGGGCATATATAGAGCACTTCGATCGAAACACCTCACCTTGCACGTGCGCCATCTGCATTTCAATATCCGCCAGCTCCGCCTCCAACGCCCGCATATCCTTCCCCCCATCCCCACCGTCCACCTCCATCCCCCCTTCCCCTCCCCCTCCCCCTCTCCTCTCCATCTCCCCCACCACAGCGCCTTTCCTCTCCCTCAGCTCCCCGAGCCTCTCCTCCAAAGCCTCCTTCCTGTTCCGAACCACGGCCATGAGGTTGAACCGAATCTCGCTCTCCGCGTACTTCTCGATGCGCTGCTGAATCACCGGCTGCACCATGCGCAGCCACGCCATGTCATCCTCCTCCTTCCCAGAACCTTCCTTACCTCCTCCTCCGCCTCCTCCCACGCCTCCTTCTACCTTAACGTCTGTTTTCCCCTCTGTCCCAGCCTCCCCTCCCGGGCCACCACCCGAAGCTCCTCCCGAGTCTGGGATCTCCCCGAGCCGGATAGGTCCGGGCTTGAGCCCGTCCAGCTCGTAGAGCACCCCGTTGATCGGCACGTAGCTGATGAAATGATACACGTCGTCGTCCTTTTCTGCCGCCCGGGCCTCCTCGGCAGCTACTATGGCTTCCGGGCGGCTGAAGCTGTTGTGGGCGGCGCGGATGGCCTCGCTGTTGTTGATCGCGAGGCCCTTCAGCTCGGGGGGAAAGTCCCGGGTGAAATCGCGGAGGGTGGAGAGCTCGGGGCCGATGTCGATTCGATTGGAGGCGTTGAGGAGAATGGAGATGATCGCTTGGGTGGCACATGCGTTGCTGATCACCTGGAATAGGAGGAAGGGACGAGGAAAGAGGGAGGAGAAGCAAGGAGTTTGAAGGGAGGTGGTGAGAAGGATTGATATGATAGCCTGGGCGGCACATGCGTTGACTTATGGGTTATCTGGCCAGGCGTAACCTGGCTATGCCTGACAAAAGAAATAACTGGCCTGGCTACAGCTGCACGCAACAAACCAACCTGACTGGCGAAGAAGACGTCAGGAGCAGCGGAATCGGGCACAGTGGGGCGCGTGTCAAGCTCCCCCGGGCGCCACTTGAAGAGAAATATGAGACCATAGACAGGGCTGGAGGAGGGGAAGCAGGAGGCACGGGCATGGGGAAGGGATGAGACAACATCATGAGAGTGTAGGCCGCGCGTCAAGCTCCTCCGGGCGCCACTTGAAGAGGGTTTTGAGCCCGTATACAGCGCTGGAGGGCTGAAGAGGGGGGGGGGAAGGGGAAGGGAGAGAAGGGAAGGAGTGTCGGAAGGGAAGAACACATCAGGAGCAGCCATGACAGGCTCCTTGACAGGTGTCCAGGGGGGAGCCTGTAGGAAGCGCAGGAGCAGCCGTAACAAGCCCTGTACGGGGGCCGCTTGAGAAATGTGAGCCTGTAAGCTGATTTGGATGGGGGATGGGGGGTACATTGGATTAATGGTGAAGACGAGGGGTGTACGGTTTTGAAAGTGGGGCACAGAAATAGTGGGCCCGTTTTGGGACTAAGCAAGAGACACGTGTATCAGGAGGGGAGCCAACTAGTGATTGTGATACTACTAATGATTCGCTGGAAGCCTAACCAACCGACCTGAAAGTTCACCTGCAAGTTCACCTGAGAGTACCTGAGCTGCTTGAGCGCATCCAGATCCAAGCTGTAGAGCTCTTCCACCTGAGAGGGAGTGTGAGCGACAGGGGGACGAAAGAGAGCAAGTGAGGGAGGGGAAGAGAATAGAGCAAGTGAGGGAGTGAGGAAAGGGGCGGACGGAAAGCCAAAGCAAATCCAATTCCTGTGTATGCATCAAAACCCAAAACCCAGGACCCAAAACCCTAACCCGAAATCCTAACCTTTAAACTGCAGGAACTGCCTTGGATGCATGCACCTTCTTGACTTGCATCTTCACATGTTCGGATACCGCCCTCACCAGGTCCTACCTGCACACCTTCACCAGGTCCCACCTGCACGCCCTTCACTTGCATCTGCTTCAACCGGTTACCCTACCTTCACCCCATTACCCTACCTGCAAACCGTTACACAGTTACCCTACCTGCACGCCCTTCACTTGCATCTGCTGCATCAGCTCCGTGAAGACCCCTGAGCAGAACGAAACGAACCAGGGTTGAAACGGAAGGGGGAAAGAGGAAAAAGGCGGGGGGGGGGGGGGGGTGGGGTGGGGGAGGGGATGGGTGGGGGAGGTTTGAGCGAAATTGATGGGCAAGGATCGACTGACTTTGTTAAAAAGCACAGAATTGGCGAAAAAACAGGTTGGGTTCGAAGGATAGGATAGAGAAGCAACGGGGATGAATTTGAAAGAGACATTTAGCAGTTGAAGCGGGTAGGGTGCACTGGGCAACCGGGAGGGAGATTTTGCAGACCAGCAAGTTGGATATTGGATTTTTTTTCGGAAAAAAAAAAAAGCATCTGGGAATGATTAAAGCCCTTGGCCCAAGCAATGAACCACATAACAGTTGGCTAGGTATACGGGCTTTAAACGACCCATAAGAACTCACTCACGAAGGCACGCACCTAGACCCCTACTCGACCGTGCACCACGACATGGCGTTGGGAGCAAGTAGGCCAACCCTCCCTTTATCCACCCCCCTTTTTCCCACCCCCCTCTTCCCCATCCCTCTTCCCCATCCCTCTTCCCCATCCCTCTTCCCCATCCCTCTTCCCCATCCCTCTTCCCCATCCCTCTTCCCCATCCCTCTTCCCCATCCCTCTTCCCCATCCCTCTTCCCCATCCCTCTTCCCCATCCCTCCTCCCCATCTCCATCCCCTTTCCCCTTCCCCCATACAGCTGTCAGTCAAGCACCTGCATATGCACCAAGCCACGCACCTGGATCCTACTCCATCGTGCACCACGACATGGCGTGGACGACGCTCGCCCAACCCCTTCTTCCCCTCCCATACAGCAAGTATTGCTAGTCATGCCCCTGCATATGCACCAAAGCACAAGCCGAGCCACGCACCTGGATCCGACTCGATCGTGCACCACGACATGGCGCGGACTGGGCGCCGATCGCACTAGAGGGAAGAGGAGGGGGTTCGCAGCACCCGCGCAACAATCCGGGCCGGGGCCGTTTCGAGCGCTGGTCAAAAGGCTACTCTGAAGACGCCGCTGCACCCACTGCCTCCGAGAAGCGAAGATTTGACCCGATCCTCGTTTTCGGGTTGACTCAAAAGCTAAGATTCGACCCGACCCGACCCGACCCTCTCGCGCCGCTGCCTGGTGGTTCGGCTCTGGCTGTACGAGGCTGAAAAACTAGCCGATCCGATCCTTCGCGCTACGAGCACGCAGCCCGCGGCGTAGCTGAAGGGAGCGTGAAGGACACCAACGGTAACGCGCGATCGACGGAGGCAATTGAGCTACAGTAATGGGGTGTCAAAAGTAGCACGCAATGTATCTGACAATAGTGGTATGTGGCTCAACCGTTTTATAAAGGCGTCAGTCGAGGTTGCTAAAGCTGGATTGATCGAAGCCAAAACTTGCTGAACGCGCTTTCATTATCAAAATCATGTTTCAGGTTTGGGGCGGCCAGTGGGATTTCGCGCACCTAACTATAAACCTGGTGCTCTTATTACCGTCGATTTTCTTAAGATATCGAGTCGCCGAGACGAAGTTTCGAGGCTACAGAACAGTCGTTTTGAAAAGTTCATTCGAAATACGAATTTAGAGCGACCCGACCCCGCAGTGCATCCTACTGACTACGGACGGCTCCAAGGTTATGAAATGGCTTGTGCTTCAGATGGGTGCTCCGCTAAGAACCTGAACCGTACTTGAAGCCACAAGTAGATACGGTAGTAGTACGAACTAAACGAGCCACAAGTGTCTTGCAACCATTTCGCATTGAATATACAACCCCATAGCGCCCACAGCCGGCCAGATCCATCGCCCACTCCTTGGTGAGCCTCTCACATATGGGCCATGGCAGTGAGTGAGTCTGTGACTCAGGTAAAACACCAACAAGGGTACCTGCAACCTTAGTCTCTGGCACCCGCGACTTCTAGGAGCCAGGAATCGCTCCATCCACCGCCAAGGCAGGCAGGTCACAAAGCTGCCCAGATTGCACCCTCGTCTTTGCAATTTCAGGGTACAGACAACAGTGGTACACCCTCAGACAGACGCGGCCAAATCAACCCTGCAGCCTCCAACAGACCACCGCTAAGGCAGGCAGCTCACAGCCGGCCAGATCTATTGCACCCCTTGAGTCGAGCCACTGCGAGCTCAGATTACACCCTCAGGCACGGCAGTTCCTCCCGCTCAGAGTACACCCTCCGGCGCGCCAGTTCCTCCCTGCAGCCTCGATAAAGAACTGCACCGCTAGGTGGGGCAGCTCACAGCTGGCCATGCTCACAGCACCCTTCTTGATGAGCCACTGCGAGCTCAGAGTACACCCTCAGGCGCGCCAGTTCCTCCCTGCAGCCTCGACAAAGCGCTGCACCGCCAAGGCAGGCAGCTCACAGCCGCCCAGGTCCACCGCACCCTTCTTGGCAAGCTTAGCCGGCCCGTGGAAGTCCGAGCCGCCGATCTTGAGCAAGCCGTGAGCGTTGGCAAGGCGACAATACTCTGGTGTTGGCAGGGTGTAATGGTGGGGACGGCATGAGAGGAGTTTATTGACCCTATGCTGAGCTCAGCCGGCCCGTGGAAGTCCGAGCTGCCAAGGCCATGGGTGTTGGCAAGACGGCAATACTCTGACTTTGACGGCAGGTGATGGAGGGGAGGGGGATGAGGAAGAGAGGGGCAGAGAAAGGGGACTGGAGAGGAAGGGGAGGGGAGAGAAAGGGAGGGGAGAGAAAGGGAGGGGAGAGGCAAAAGTGGGGAAGGGAAGGGGAGGGGAGAGGAAGGGGAGGGGAGAGGGAGGGGAGGGGAAAATCCCTTTGTGTGTCCTGGCGTGTTTAGCCGCCCAGTGGAAGTCCGACGCACCGATTTTTAGCTAGCAGTGCGTGTTGGCAAGACGAGCAAAGTCGGGTGGTCATGGGGTGAAACCAAGAGGCAAAAGAAACGCTTCGGTTGACCCCAAATGAAGCCCTTCTTGGCGAGCCTAGCCGGCCCGTGGAAGTCCAACCCACCAATGGCGAGCCGAATAAGCAGTGTGTGTTGGCTAGCCGAGCAAAGTCTGGTGGTCATGCGATTTATGAAAGTGGCACGCGTGTTATCTCGTTCAGAACACGCCTGCCACTTTGGAGGCAGGCGTGTTATTGCCTCTTCGGAGCTGCTGTGCTTTACCGTTCAGAACTTCACGCTTCAAAACACTCAAACACCGACCTTCTTGGATCTCCTTCCCTCGGTACACCTCCATTCCCGTCAATCCGTCTTCAACGACTCGCTTCAGCATCCCCCTCAGTGTGCTCTCCGGTATTGTCCACGGGTGCGCCAGCACTGCTGCCCCCCCTGCCTCTCTTATAACGCGTATGGCTTCAGCCACGGGGATCTCAGAGCCCCTGCAAGAGGACACGGATTCAACACATATATGATTATATTTTGTGAGAATACTGTGCAAGCAACCAAGCAGTGCTGCTGCCCCTCCTGCCTCTCTTATAACGCGTATGGCTTCAGCCATGGGGATCGCAGAGCCCCTGCAAGAGGACACGGATTCAACACATGTATGATTATATTTTGTGATAATACTGTGCAGTCAACCAAGCAGTGCTGCTGCCCCTCCTGCCTCTCTTATAACGCGTATGGCTTCAGCCACAGGGATCTCAGAGCCCCTGCGGCAAGAGACGGGTGGGCAAGAGACGGGTGGGCAAGAGACGGGTGGGCAAGAGACGGGTGGGCAAGAGACGGGTGGGCAAGAGACGGGTGGGCAAGAGACGGGTGGGCAAGAGACGGGTGGGCAAGAGACGGGTGGGCAAGAGACGGGTGGGCAAGAGGGGCGGGGAATATGGGGTTTGGCTTTTCTATTACGCATGACATGATCGTGATCTCCATGGCATGAATCCCTGAGCCCCTGTGGCATGAAATGACGTCTGCATGTCCCCCCACCATCCCCCCACCGGCCCTCCATCACCCCCCCATCACCCCCCCACCGTCCCCCCATCGTCCCCCCCCTGCCTGCACCGCCCCACCTTTCTCTGCGTGTAAAGCTCCTTCAATTGGCGCCTCACAGTCGCCTCCTCCCATACACACACTGGACATAAGCCGGCCCATGGTCCCAACATGCTTCTGAAAAGCTTCCTCCACTTCCCCCACTGGCACTGCATGCAACCGACCGACCGTTTTCGATCCCCCCTCCCTCTCCCTATACCCACACCTGACCTGACATAAGCGGGCCCATGGTCCCCTCTGTACTTCTGAAACGCCTCCTCCATTCCAGTTGTCATGGAAGAGTAGCAGCAGCGTAGGAAGGTCGCATTAACAAAAAATTGACAGTTTGAAAAAACTTGTACCCTCAGAAATTAAGTGAACTCGAAAAAGTCTCTCAACTGGCCCTTGAATTGAATCAACAAGCAAACATGTTTCGGTGGTGGGGATCAGATCCACAACACCTTCATCAGTGCATGAGCTGGTAACGAAAAAGAAACCTCCGAGCGAGGAGTCTTAAAAAGACACCCAAGCCTCGAGATCTACTCTGGGGAAATCCTACCCGGGCCCACAACTAGATAAGAAGTAAGCCAACGAAGCACTACGGAAAAAACCTAGGTGCCCTGTCATTCCTCGGGTTTGTCCTTGGGAGCCTTGGAAGCACTACGGAAAAAACCTAGGTGCCCTGTCATTCCTCGGGTTTGTCCTCGGGAGCCTTGGAATCTGCAGGTGGTAACCTCGCGCGAACCAAAAGTTGTTGCACGTTACGTGCACACTTCCAAGCAACCAAAATTCTTCCTGTATTAAAACCGCGGATAAAGAGACGAATTTTGAGGCGCCTCAAAAATACCCCTAGCTTGAGACGAGCGGTCGAAGGTGTGAACACCGTCTTCAGAACTAGGGGTCCGCGATGAGGAAGGGCTGTTGGCTGCTGTTGCTTAAGTGAGTGGCGCGCGGAGATCTGTTCCAAGAGGGAACCACGTTGGCGAAAGAGGACTGTCCGGATGATGGGTTGAAGGAAACCCGGTGGGTAACCACGTGCACGAAGCCTGAAGAAGAAAGCATGCTTCGTCGCGAGGAAAGCCGAAGCTGATGTCAAACGGAGTAGGTACCGTTTCAGTTCAGCTTGGATGAACCCGACCATACAGTGACGTGGGTGGTATGACGAGAATGGTAGGTAGAGATACCGGTTCATGGGCTTGTGGAAGGTCCGGAAGTCCAAGGTACCAGAGTCAGCAAAACGATCCCCTTTGAACATAACCATGTCGAGGAAGTCTACCGACTGCTCCGAGACGTGCCAGGTCAATTTAATGTTCGGGTCAAGGCTGTTGAACGTGTTGAGGTAACGTTCCAGCTCATCTCTGGACCCCGGCCAGATGATGAGCCCATCGTCAATGTAACTGGCGTGTCGAATGGGCTGCGTCCCAGTCCACCTCTGCTTCAGCACTTCGTCCAGTCGGCTCATGAAAATCACCACGAAACAGACTGCCATAGGAGTTCCCACAGCAATTCCCTGGATCTGACGGTAGATATCGCCGTTGAACTCCACGTAAGAATTCAGCATGACCCACTCCGGCAGGGCCATGACCAGAAGTGCACTGTGACACCGCTCCCTCTGTAGAAAGCCGCTAACTGAATCGAGACCGCGTCTGAGGGGTATGCTAAGGTAGAGCGCGGAAACATCGTACGTTGCCAGAAGAACATTTCGTGGAAGAGTCGTTCATTCCAACTCCAGAAGCAGCGAAAGGGAGTCGCGAAGGTAGGATTGTTGCTTAAGAACCAGTGGCCACAGCTCAGCATCCAACCAAGTGCTGACGTGAGTTAACCCAGGAGTGCGAAGCAGCGATCGGCCGCCCCGCCAGGTTTTTCTTGTGGAGTTTCGGTAGGATGTAGAACGCCGCTGACCTCCAGCCTCCACTTGATGTAGAAAATACCTCCACAAACTGTCTTGAAGAGCAAGGCCCCAAACAGCTCGTAAGTCGCGTAGTTGTTGGAGGATAGCATCCGTAGGGTTGGTGCGGACTGGTTCGTAGGTACTTCCGTCACCAAGATGTTCGAGGCAGAGCACGATGTAGTGACTCCTGTCCAGCACTGTGACGCCCAGGTTCTTATCCGCCGGTTAAATGACCACGCTGGAATCAGCTGCAATGGAACGCAGAGCCCGCGCGACGCCGACGTTGATGTTCCACGATCGCTTGGGTCTGTTGGCTTTCAATTGGAAGGAAAGATCCGAAGACGTTTCCCTGAAAACCTGCTCCGAAATTGGATTCTCATCAGGGATCCAGCCAGGATTCCGTACGCAGAAACGTGAATCCCGACTGCATCGACCTGAATCGTTGAAGAAAAATTGAAGGGAAATCTGCCGAAGTAGTTGATCGAGCTCCATCTCAGTTGAAAAGGATCTGGTGGGCGTTGGGATGAACTTCAAACCCAACCCCAACGCCGTTTTCTCATCCGAAGACAAGATCTTGGCGCTGAGGTTGTGAACCCCCTGGTTCAGGACGCGTGGCG